CACGTAGCCACGCCTCCTCGATAAGGTGGTCCTACTTTTCATTCTGCTCACGAAGGAACCGGGACTTCCCCCGGCTACGAGCGATAATGGTATGAAAGGAGGTGATGGTCAAAATACAAAAAAATATATAGAGAAAGAAAAGGGCGAGAAACAGGATCAAGCGAATACTCGGCCGGAGGGAACGACAATGTCACGTAAGGCTCCTCGAGCGTGGTCTAGGGCTTCGAGCATGGGCACGATTCCCATGTCGAGGCTCTCCCACTCCATGCTCTCTGCGGCGTCGTCGAGAGTGAAGAGCATCGACATCGGATCCTCTAGATTCGCCCACCGGAGCAGGGGCTCGCACGCGCATGGGCGAGTCATTGCTCACCAACGTTAGGGCCAGAGACAGCTCCCCACCGGCTCTTATCGCCGCTGACCCTTCCCACCGTGACATCCCCGCTGGGACACTCCCTCAACGCCGGAAGGGGTTAGCGGTACGGACGCTGACTCATGTTCCAGCACCATGACCTTCGGGGACCCCTCGGCCGCGTCCCCCTCCGTCCGGCCCATGCCAGACGCCATCACCTAGGCTGCCAATGGTGCGGGTTGCGCTGGTTCCTCAGGCACCACCACGATAGCACCCCGCTGTGACCCACCTATCATAGCCATCGCCACCTCTGCCTGTGTTGGTGGGGTTGGTCATGGGGCTCGATCGGTCGGTACACCCACCGCCTGCCATCGGCGTGTATATTGCCACCATCGCCCGTGGCCTGACCTCCAAAGGTGTCCCTTGAGCCCCCACATCCGTCCATCCCACCAAGGGCACGGGCGCCCCCATGGGCGGTGCCTGACACAATCACACTAGCGCCGCTCCCGCCCGATACGGGCTTGACGTCAGCCAACGGCTGCCGCCTCGCTTAAAGGATGACGCTCTTCTTTGGTGCTAGCGCCAAATGATTACGCTGCCTCATGATGCTACAAGAGACAAAAAGCATAAGTCAAGATGAAATCCGACCAAAACAGGGAAAAATAAAGGAGCTGATGACTCACCTTAGTGCCATCGGATGATAGATATGTTTGGGGGGCGAACCCCCCGACCTCTGCCGCCTCATCAGGGTGAGGCCATTTTAAGCCTGCCCTCTGCTCTTGGGCAGAGGGGCTCACTCCCTTTGGATCTTGAGGCACGATGGCGGAGTCCTCCGCTGGCACCTCGGGCACGGTGGCAGAGCCACCCGCCCTTGTTGGCTCATGGGGTAGGCCAATGGTGCGGCCCGTCTTCGCTGGCTCCCCAGACATGCCCTCACCTCCATGGAACGGGGAGGGTGTCGACCCCTGTAAGGATGAACCGATACCTATCAGCACATCCTCGTTCTCTAGGTTGTCCCACTCGATGTCATTGTCTACCTCATCGTCATCTCCATCATCATCATCATCGTCGCTGTTAGTGTCCTTCCCTCGCTCTCGCACCTGCAGCTTCCGCTGCTTCTTCTTCCTCTTGTCCTCCTTCGCCTTCCTTAGCCACTCGCCCTTGACGTGATTTGCCGCCCTCATAGACGCATCTCTCGACAACGGAGCTGAGTGATCCATGAAGACGAGGTCCCTCGGCTGGTCCCGCCCCTCAAAAGGTTAGTATCACGAGGTCAGGAAATCAATTGAGGAGGAGGCATGAGGAGGGGAAACTCACGAAGACGACGTGGCCTGGTTCCAGCCACATAAGAGGATGTCCCAACACCGGGTAAATGAAATTGAGGGGGGCACCTATGCCATCCCGTGAGGGCTCCATTGCCTTCTTGATGCGTTGCGTGATCTCGGAGTTGGGGAGCGCCCCCTCGGCGAGCGTCGTTCCATCGAACGATGCCTCGAGCACCATCGCGTACAGCGGCAGCGCACGCGTTATCAACGGTGCCACCCTCCTTGTGTGGTTGGCCCCTATGATGCCCGACCCCTTCAGGCCGCTCTCCTTCAAGATCTGGATGGCAGCGATGTGGTCCTAAATCTTCTTCTTGTCCTTCTTTGGGACACCCCACTTCCTCCATGACTCCGGGGCCTCTTCGATCAGGCGCCTGGTGAACTCCGGCAGAGGGGCGATGGCGTCATTCTTGAGGAAGAACCACTGCGAATGCCACCCATTGTTGGACGTTGACAGACGCATCGATGGGTACTCGCCGACCCGGTTGTTTCGGAGGTGGATGCCGGCACACCTCATCAGCGTGTGCAGCTCCTGCCTGCCGCTCTTCTCCCTCTTCTTTTGGAGGGTGACAACGAAGAAGTGCCACCACAAATCCCTAGGAATCCCTCGTATAAGGCGATGAACACCGCCATATGCTAGATCCCATTGGGATTGAGGTGCTGCAGCCCGATCTTGTAGTAATAAAGTAGCCCCCGAATAAATCTGTGGGCGGGGGTCGACAGCAGCTCCTCCCCGCCGAGCAGCAGCCACTCCTCGGCCGAGGACTGCACACGGAGAAGATCTACGTGCGCTGGAAGGTGATGTCGGAGCGGCACCATGGATCCATTTGAGCGGGGATGTGGAGACGGGGAACCCTAGGCGATTGGTGGCGGCGGTCATGGCTGCGGAGGTAAGGATGTAAGGTACAAAACCCTAGGGGCAAACCCTTTGGTTTTATAGGGGCGACGGATGCGAGGAAACCAACCGTCTGCCTAGATCTCCGCGCCTGCCATGATCTGCCACAACGTCCCGCCACGGGAAGTGCGCACATAATCTCTGTCCGTTCCCTCGAAAAACTCACCGGACATTTTGTCTCTTTGGACGGGCCACAACTCGTCACAAGTAAGAGAAATACGGACCAAACAACACCTCTATGGCCCGCCTAGGCCTAGGAGTTCAAATGCCAGCCCATCAACATGTTCAACAACCGCTCTAGGCACCCTTAGAGTAAGGGATGGAAAGGGATGAGCCCGCAAGCGGCTAGCACCTAGGCGCACAAGCGCCACGGACATCCCGGCTCACGGTCCGAGTCTCGGCCGGTCACGATCCATGGGTTTTCCTTAAAGAAAGGCGCATAGCCCTTGGGACTACCCGAATGGACTCGAGAACTATACAGGATCGATCGCCAAGAATCTGGAGTCAATCACCAAGCTGGCCTTGGCCAAATCCCCATGAACGAGATGCCGGGACCCCACTTGAACTAGCCAGCTAACAACCCACCAAATCTCACGGCCATACCCGCGAAGGGTCCAACCTCGACGAGAGGGAATCACCATCCCAAGGACATGCCGTGAGTGACAAAAGAAGGCCAGGGCCCTGAGAGCCCTCCCATAAGAAAAAACCTTCGAAGGAGTATTCTACTCCTCCGCAGGCTCGGGGGTTGCTGTCGAGGATTAATACTAGGGTACCCGAAGAGGAGGAGCTAATAACCATCAATGTTGATTCATCCGAGCGGTCAAGAGCGCGACTACAGCTCTTGCCGACCCCCTAGGTGCGTGAACTTTGCCTTGCTCGACCCCTAGGGGTTGGCTCCGCCTCGCCCGACCATGAGGCCGTGGGCTCCACCTCGCTCGACCCCTGAGGGTAGCTCCGCCTCGCCCGACCCTGAGGGCGGACTCCGCCTCGCCCGACCTCTGGGGATGGGCTCCGCCTCGCCCGACCCCTGAGGGCGGACTCCATCTCGCCTGACCCCTGAGAGCGGACTCCGCCTCACCCGACCTCTAGGGATGGGCTCCACCTCGCCCGACACCGAGGCCGCAGGCGTCGCCTCGCCCGACCGCTGAGGGTGGACTCCGCCTCGTCCGACCTCTGGGGGTGGACTCCGCCTCGCTCAACCTCTAGGGGCGGACACCGTCTCGCCCGACACTAAGGTCGCAGGCTCCGTCTCGCCCGACACTAAGGCCGCAGGCTTCGCCTCGTCCGACCCCTAAGGGCGGACTCCGCCTCGCCCGACCCCTAAGAGCGGACTCTGCCTCGCTCGACTTCTGGGGGCGGACTCCGCCTCGCCCGACCTCTAGGGGCGGACACCTTCTCGCTCGACACCGAGGCCGCAGGCTCCTTTGTCGGACTCTTGAGGGCGGATTCGCCTCGCTCAACCTCTATGGGCGGGCTCCGTCTCGTCCGACACCAAGGCCGTGGTCTCTGTCTCCTCTCACCCTTGGGTTTGGGCTCCGCCTCGCCCGAGCTTTAGGTTTGTGCTCAGGCTCCGTCTCACCCGACGGAGACCCATACCGCCGCCAACCATTCTAGTTCCAAGCGTATAGGTTTGGGTCGAGGTTATGAAGCCAGAGAAGAGACTGACACACCTCGATGTAGCCCGCGACCCACGACGGGCCATACATGGGGGTTCATGTCGAACAAACACGGGCGTACTGGTGTTGTTCTGCCTAACCCCTGTACGAAGCTGACTTATAACTATGGCCCGCTGGCTGAAAAAATAACTAATGCTGATGCTGATTTATTATAAGAGAAAAACACTATTATTTTTCAAAAAGATACGGCTGATAAAGTGAAGCGAACATGCTAGTGCCTTCACCCCTGCTCTAGTTCTAACTGGTCCTTACCTTCATACCCGGCCCCACAAGTCAGTGTCACGGCCCACAGCCATCCCGCGTCCACGATGTGCGCCTAATAATTCGCGAATCATGGAGCGCGGAAGGGGCAGTTTCGTCAATGGAATCCAAAACAAAAGCTCGGAAACGGCAAAAGCCATGGCGAGTAGCGCAGAGGCCTGCAGGTCGACCAGTCTCCTCTCCGCCCGCTTCCCACCGAGCTCACACTGTACACTGTACACTCCCCACTCCTCCACCCCTGCAGGTTCACGGGAGGCGAGGCCCCTGCCCCCCTGCATTCCTCCCGTATTCGCGGACCGGTCCTCGCCACGGGAGGCGAGACGAGAGCGTGGCATTTCTGCGAGGGAAGTGCGTTCCTGCAAGTTCGGAGAGATAGGAGGGGGTGAGTGAAAAAGTAGGCGTTGCTATCTTGCTGACTGCTGCTGACTGAGCTAGTGAGCTGAGCGGTGGAAGACTGGAAGCACGCACAGCAGCGCCGCGGCGGTGTGGCGAGGCGCATGGCGAGGGCGCGCGGTGGCGCCGCGTGGGTGCTGGCGGCGGCGTGGGTGCTGCTGTGGGCGGCGGCCGCGGCGGTGGCGGCGGAGGCCAGGTCGCCGGCGGGGAGGAGGGTGCACCGGCACCTCAAGCGCCTTAACAAGCCGGCCGTCAAGAGCATCGAGGTGGGTGGTTGCTCCGCCGTCCGTGGAATTCGCAATGATGGGTCTTTCTTCTAAGTGTTCTGTCGAGGTTTGTCTTTGTGACGACGAGTTTGGAGGTTCCGAAGTGTGGGGGTTGTTCAAATTCAGGTTTCTTTGCAGCTAGATGCTCTGGTTGGGGGACCTGTTCTTTGGGTTACTAGATTTTTTTTTGGTAGGATATTTCAGCTTCACTTTGTAGGATTGGATGCAGTTTCAGTGAGAAGTTGCGTCCTCATTATTGAACAATGAAAAAAAGCTACTTTTGTCTGATTCTTTTGGGCTTTCCTCGCTGGTAAATTTTCGCTGTCACTTTGGAGAATTATTTCAAAAGGTCTCACCTTTTGGACGTAGACCATGCAAATTGAAGCAAACCAGAGTAAGAAAACAAAGATGAATGGGTCTTTCTTGGATACAGGCTGGCTCTTGCAAAGTTATCCTCTCTGAGTGAAAAGGGGCAAAGCCTTGCCTTTGTGAACATTTTGCTCCCGGCTCCAGTTTCAGTAAATTTCTGAGTTTAATGAATGTGATGAGTTCCACTATGTCAGCTTAATGCTGCATATTTGATTTTGTTTCTATATTTCTTTTCATGATTTACATTCTTGAAGCTTCCTTTTGGATGAAGTAGACTGAAGTATTCTTTTGAATGAAGTAGACATTGTGAAAAATCAAAAGAAGTTCACACGAGCCTTTTTTTTTTTTTTTTTGACACTGATAGAAGTATCTTACTCTTCAGAGCCCAGATGGAGACATCATCGACTGCGTGCATATCTCCCACCAGCCAGCCTTTGATCATCCTCTCCTCAAGAACCACACAATACAGGTGAGCCAATCAACTTTGAATTTTTTCAGGAACCGAAACAAGCGCTTATTAATGGTTTATTTGAGCAACCATCATTTTAACTCTCCTCACAACCTCTATTCTTTCAGTTTAGGCCAGCGTACCACCCTGAAGGTCTATACGATGATGCCAAGAGTAGCATAGGTTCAAACAATGCCGGTGAGAAGCCGATGCTCCAGATGTGGCATCGAAATGGCAGGTGTCCGGAGGGCACGGTCCCAATCAGGAGAACCAAGAAGGATGACCTGCTTCGAGCCAGCTCCCTGAGGCGGTATGGCAGGAAGCGGCACACTGCTCCGAACCCGCTGTCTGTTGATCCTAACATGCTCAGTGAGGGTGGTCACCAAGTACGTCCACATGGTTTGTCTTGCTGAAAGTGAATAGCTTGGTAGCTATATTGATATGTTGTGTTGTTATTACTGAACTGATGCTGTTGTGGAATGCAGCACGCCATAGCGTACGTCGAGGGTGATAAGTACTATGGCGCAAAGGCTACCATTAATGTGTGGGAGCCCAAGATTCAGCAGGTTAACGAATTTAGCCTGTCCCAGCTCTGGATCTTGGGGGGTTCATTTGGGGAGGATCTCAACAGCATAGAGGCTGGCTGGCAGGTACTATTGTAAAACTGAGTTTATGAGTTTAGCTTGTTCATAGATACTTGTGTCAAGTAAATGCTGACCATTTTTTGCGGTGGCATGCATCTTTAAGTATCTATCATTTATGTGATGTTTGGTTCACCAGGTTAGCCCTGACCTCTATGGAGACAACAACACTAGATTGTTCACATACTGGACTGTAAGTCTCAAAAGTTCAGTTTCTCCTGCTCATATTATTAATGTGTTGCAGTACTAGATTAGCAGACATTCTAGCGTTGATGCGTCAACTCATTGACTGTTGCATTGCTGTGCTGTTGTCTATTATGCAGAGTGATGCATACCAGGCCACAGGGTGCTACAACATGCTGTGCTCTGGTTTCATTCAGATAAACAGCGAGATTGCCATGGGGGCTAGCATTTTCCCCATCTCGAACTACGCAGGCTCCCAATACGATATCAGCATCCTGATCTGGAAGGTTAGCATTTAGCAATTAATATAGAGAAATTTTACAATGATTGAGAAAAACATGGACCATCCATTGGGCGAGATCGAACGGTGAAAAAATAGGAGGTACCCAACTGAAAGTACATGGAGGTACTAAATAGGTGGGGATAGAACCAAATTAGGTGGGACCAGTACCAATATATATGGGATAATATCTATTTTCATTTTATATTTTATTTTCAAAATAAGGGCAAATCGGTTATTTTATATGACGTCATCATGACGCCATGGCTCAAGAGCATTAGCACGACGCTCGGCCCAGATCGGTGTTAGGCACGCCGCACGGCTTCGCGCCCTCTGCTCCCTGACCGCTAGGGGCGGACCCACCAATATGGCCGGCAGACCTCACCGCCGGCGAACCCCTCTACCCGCACCCTCTGGCGTGGCCTCAGCTCTCCCTGTGCAGCAGGCGGCGGCCATGGTTGTTAGTTTGTGTTTCTGTTTTGACGGAGGTACACGATGACTCTCCGATCAGACGAACCATTTTTGGCTTTAGGCCTTGACGCCGATCGTGGGCCTTGAAGGGAGTCCAGGCCTTGAAGGGAAGACAAACTTTTGCCCTGTAAGGCTGTAACCACGTAAGTACGTAATAACGTGCCCCTTGGCCTCGCCACCGCGGCGCTCTGCGCCCTCGCTGCCAACTGTGACGCTGCGCCCTCCGTCGTGTCGTGCGCCGCCAGCGAGGTCGCCTCTGGGGCCGCGTGCGCCAGGGCCGAGTCGTAGCTTGGGATCCAGATTCCCGAACGTCGTGCAAGTCGCCGGCCCAAACACAGGATGCTGCTCGAGCTCTGCAGTGTGGGATCGAGGGAGAAGTGCAATTGATTACCAAAATACCCTCCATAATATATTTCTCAATTAATTACTTGGAAAATAGAAAAAGGTGAAAGTACCTGTAGGTACCATGGTACTTTCTCAACCATTGTAAAAGATCTCATTAATATAAAGCACTCATTATGCCTTACCATATTAGTGCCTTCAGAATCAGCACACTGACCCCATGGCCAGAGAACCTATGCCCACTTGGTACAAAATTCTCCTGCCCATGCTCAGTTTTCCAAAGTGGTTTCCTCCAAACCACATGCACTGCATAGTTAAATCCCCTCCTTTTTTTTTATCATTGTCCAATGATTCTGATTGTGTGCCCTATGAGCAGGACCCCAAGGAAGGCAACTGGTGGATGCAGTTTGGCAAGGAATATGTCCTCGGCTACTGGCCATCCTTCGTCTTCTCCTACCTCGTCGACAGTGCATCGATGATCGAATGGGGCGGGGAGGTGGTGAACATGGAGCCCAACGGCGCGCACACGTCGACGCAGATGGGTAGCGGGCACTTCCCAGAGGAAGGGTTCGGCAAGGCGAGCTACTTCAAGAACATTCAGGTGGTGGACAGCAGCAACCAGCTCAGCGCCCCCAAGGGCGTGGGCACTTTCACCGAGCAGTCCAACTGCTACGACGTGCAGAACGGCAACAACGGCGACTGGGGCACTTACTTCTACTACGGCGGCCCCGGCAAGAACTCGAATTGCCCATGACTGCTGCTTCTAGTGTGTAGTGTGGAGTGCTGTCACCGTGAAAAAAAATGTAACCAAGCATTCAGGTTTGCTATACAGCGCTTGTTCAGTTAGGTAGTAGTAACATGTGTGCATGTGCTCTCTAGACCCTAGTGTTTTCTTCTTCATTTGCCATGTAAAGTTTCTGAAGAGAGGAAGCATGGCTTGAGGCTGCGGTGGTGGTTGGGGCTGGTCAGTGGTGACCTTTACGGATTTTTGCAAGTGTGCTTATTGGTCACCTTCGCCAGTTGTTTTGAAAGTGTGCTATAGCCTATTGGCTGATGGGTGATGGTAATAATATTGAGCTTATTGGTTATTGCATATTTGTATCCAGTACTCTACCGCTCTGCATCAGCATCATTCTCTTCATATCCCAATCCTCCCTGGAAGCGCATGAGCATCATCCAAAGCCGGATTATGGCTGATATCAAATTTATACTCCCCCTCCAAATTATAAGTCAGCTTCGATTTTTCTTTAATGACCTCGAATTTGCTACGGCTCCGATCGGCTGCCCTTCTTCAACCGGCAGCAGCAGCAGAGTAGCAGTAAACCAAAGACCCAGCAACCGCTGCGCATTTTTTATATTTTAACACTTTTTTTAAACTATTTTTAAAATTGACACTGTTTATTTTTTTTTCAAAACTAACACTTTTGGACGCGCCTGTTTGCACGGCGCGGCTAATTTATGCTGCCGCGCCATGCATGGTGGCGCGCTAGGGTGCAGTCAATGGCTGTGGCGACCGCTGGCGTGGCAGGTCTGACGCGCCACCCGTCACGGCGCGGCGGGACTGTCGCGCCACGCATCACGGCGCGGCAGACCCCCTAATTCCCTCTCTCAGTGTCTCCGTCCTTAGACGAGAAAACACGCCATGCGACTCCCCACCAGCAAGCGCTTGCCGGCGGCGAGCCCGCGTCGCCATGCCATATGCCCATCGCCCAACAATGGGCCCGCCCCGATGCGCTCTCGCCCGCCAGGACCGGCCGCCCAGCGCTGCCGCCCGTGTGCCGTCCTCCCTCACTCCATCTCTATCTCCCCATGTCTCGTTGCCTCCCTTACTGCCGCCGCCGCCCCTCCATCTCCCCACTATCGCGCGCCGCCTGTCCTCGTCGCCGCCCCTCCATCTCTCCGCACTGTCTCGAGCCGTGAAGGACATTGCTGCGCTACCCATCGTCGTCCTCCAGAAGGGGATTGCCGCCGGCCGGTCGACCATTGCCGCCGCCCTCCAGAAGTAGGCCGCTGCCGGCTGGCCATTGCCGCCGCCGGCCATCTCCTTTCCATTGGTGGATTGTGGTGACCCATAATCTTTGTCGAGATAATGCTCCTCTACATCTTTGTCAAAATTTTTCTAGGGTTAGGATTCAAATTTAGTTTGACTGGATAGAGATTTATATAATTAGTTAGCAAAGATATTTAGTGAAGTTAGTAAATATAAGTTATGTATAGTTTTGCAGTTAGTTTCGCAGTTAGCTAGATATGTATAGTTAGTAAAGTTACTTAGTATAGTAAGTATAGCTATTAATATTAGTGTGTTTAGTGTAGTTAGTTAGTATAGTTAGTTAGAATTATTGGTATATGTATTAATATTAGATTAGTTAGTATAGTTAGTTGGTATAGGTGTAGTTAGTATAGGTGTAGTCAGTTAGTTAGTACGCACGACAATTTTGATGATCTGATGAAGTTTCTAAAATGCTTTTGTAGATGGATTGTTGTGTTAGAGTTTTCTACGGAGAAAGAGTTAGGAGAGAAGATGGTATGTTTGAGGATATGGAAGAAGAATTGGAATGGTTTGATGAACCTCCTAGCTTCAGCGATCTTTGTGGCCGTTTGAATGGAAAGTTTGGCGGTGATTATACACTAAAGGGGAGGTTTGATAGTGGAAAGACTAGGGCACACTATGTGCTGATGCCCTTGAGGGACCATGCTCACTGGTCCCGCTACAATAGGGTAGTCCAAGGTTTCAATGTGGCCTTGGCTGAGGTGGTTGTGGAGAATGGGTACATGATGCATGATCTCCAGGAGGGGCCATCCTTCGATGATGATACTCAACAAGAATGTGGGGTTCATGTGGAACCAACTATGTGTACTATGGATTTGGATGGTCAGTTGACGCAGGAGCAGTTTCATTCAAGTCAAGTAGGTTGTATAAGCAATGACTTCGATGTGAACGAGTTCGAACGGGAAGAGGAGCAGGAGGAGGAGGACAGGATCGGTGATGTAGTTAGCAGTGATTCAGACGATTCAGATGATGACTAGGGAGGTAAACATGCTATGCCCACACCGGTTGATGCCATGCCAGTACCTGTTCATGGTATGCCATTATCAGTACCAACTAAGGTTTTGTATGCTATGCCGGCTCAGGGTAGACTAGTCACAGATTTGCCAGCAGATAATACCCCCTATGATTCATGGGGCAGAATTAGCGAAGCACAGCAGTATGTTCCACCACCACCTTACACAATGACAGAGCTTGAGCAACTAAGGTCGATGAACGTACCTTTCAGGGGTGTTCCGAACTATAGGGATGTCAGCATGACGGATATGGCAGTTTATGACACCGGTCTCCAGATGTGTAGGAAATCATTGTATGACCATCAGAAAGAAATCATTAGTAAGGGGATGATATTCAATACAATGCCAGAGATGAAGCTCTTCCTTTAGAACTATGCTGTGTATCACCATAGGTCGTACAACGTCCCTCATTCAGACCAGGAGTTGAGGTACCACGTGATATGCAAAAACGGTTGTATGTGGAGGTTAAATGCATGAAAGAGACAGAGTGATGGCAAGTGGAGGATAAGTAAAGTGGTCGAACCCCACACTTGCCTATCAAATAGGGGGAAGGAAAATCATCAGCAGCTCACTGCATGCTACCTTGCCCGTCGTATATTGGGGCTCGTTGATGACAATAACAATATTTCGGTGTCTTCATTATAACAGTCCATATCTAGATTCGTTAAGTATGATGTGAAGTACGGAAAGGTTTGGCGTGCTAAGCAAATTGCCCCGCCGATTCATTGGGGTAGTTGAGAGGAAGCGTACAACATGGTGCCCTACATCTTATATGCAATGTATTACTACAACCCTGGCTTGAAATGGTTTGTGGACACTAGAGGGATGTATTTTTGGGACCCGTTGAGGCATGTCCTGCATCATGTGTTCTGGTCGTTCGCGTAAACGGAACATGCATTCCAGTTTTGTCGGCCAATCGTACTTGTTGATGGCACTTTCCTGATAGGAAAGTACAGGGGCACCTTGATGATGGCTGCTACTGTTGATCCGAAGGACCAGATAGTACCCATGGCTTTTGCTTTGGCAGAGGGAGAGAACAATGAATCGTGGTCATGGTTCATGCGGCTTCTACGTGTATAAGTGCTTGGCCCATCTCGCACTATATGTTTGATCTTGGACCGTCACGCAGGGCTTCTTAATGCTACAACTGAGCATATAGATGGGTTCCCGCCTTTAGTGCACAGATGGTGCATGAGACACTTTGCCGCTAATTTCTGGCGGCGTCAGAGGAAAGAAGGAGGTATGTGACAAGGTAAAGGCTCTATGTTGTGTACGTACAGAGCACCAGTTCAAGGAGACAAAGAGAGATGGTGCGGCAAACCCATACTGGGCGCTGGCCAGACTCCCTTCTGAGCACAAGAGCAGCATCAAGATTTTGATGCATATAATTTAGGGGGTTTCGAAAGATCGCAATGGTGAGAACAACTTTTTATTTATCTTTTTTTTAAATAAAGCATAGCCATGACGCAAGGTCATTAGTGATTGGTACAATCTTCTAGATAATGTTTGGACAAGATGGGCACCAAATTAAGACCCAAAAGTAATACCCGAATGTGTGACAATGACAAAAGCAAAAGCATTATATATCGAGAACGTAACAAATACATGCAATTTGTAGCATTGTAATACCATTTTTTGTGGTGAAAGTTTTATGAGATAACACAATGTCCGTTACAAAAATTAAATAGTGTTTGTTACATGGGTGCAATACATAAATAGTTCAAATGAAACACAATGTAGCACCGAGAAAGTTCTACAACAATACAAATACCAAATCTAAAGCATTCAACTAGCACACCTGTACCAATCCTCTACCACACCTCTACCAATTCTCAATCTGAAACATATTGAGTAAGCAACTCATCGTTAGAGTATCAATCCTCTACCACTACCTCCTTGCTGTGGCTAGGCTCACCTACATTGCCCTGATTTGCCTGTCGCCTATAGTAAGCTACCTCTGCTTTACCTGCGGCCTCTACGGAGTCAAGAACGTGTTCTCCTCCGTCTGGCTCATGTGGCTAGGCTCACTTGCATTTCCTTGATCTATCTATCGCCTATAGTAAGCGGCCTCCACTTCATCTGTGGCCTCTACGCCCTAAAAGAAGAACGCGCCCTCCTCCGCCTGCAAGCCCGCATTTGCTTGAGCAATAAGCTCGCTAAGTCTACAAGTGTCTTCCTCAGCCTCCTCCATCTACAAGCCCGTATCCACTAGAGCAATGAGATCACTCAACCTGGCAGTGTCATCCTCATCCTCGTCCCCATCATCGGCCAACATAATCGGAGATTGGACAGTGCGACCAGCTGAAAGCTCTAGTTTGGTTTTGGTGAATTGATGAAACCCTAAGTGCTAACCTAGTTTATTAAGTGATCATGATATAGGTAGCACACTCCAAGTGGTGAGGCAAATGAAGATATTAACATGATGATGGTGATGCCATGGTGATGATCAAGTGCTCGGACTTAGAAAGAAGAAAGAGAAAAACAAAAGGCTCAAGGCAAAGGTAAAATTGTAGGACCATTTTGTTTTGGTGATAAAGACATTTAGTGAGTGATCACATTTAGGATCGATAGCCATACTATTAAGAGGGGTGAAACTCGTATCGGAATGCGATTATCAAAGTGCCACTAGATGCTCTAACTCATTGCATATGCATTTAGGATCTAGTGGAGTGCTAACACCCTTGAAAATGT